TGTATCAGAGAAAATTCAACCTTGGACATTTCGCATGACTGATGAGTATTCTGTCATTGTTGCGATACCGACCGATTCTACCTCGAGAGACTTTCTTACAATAATAATGAATGTACGCGTTCTTATGCGCATAAATCTTTCAACGCAAGCAATGCTTTGATTATACAAATATACACACGGGTTTGTGATCATCAGTAAACTGTGGACTCAGTCAAGCCTTAATATAACTAAGTGCAAGTGTCAAATTGACATTTCTACACTAATAATTACTTCACCGATTAGAAAGACAGAAGCGCGTAACTGATAAAACCGGAGTAGGATAGATAATCACATTGCAGAATAATTTGTAAAATTTTAATAAGGCGAAGTGAAGCTCCATTTACATGAATACCTAAATAAATTTCAACGATTATGCCGTCATCTTAATCAAAGTCAAAATGCAATTGTTAGGGTATTTACACATTGATACTACTCATTGTCTGTATACGTTTGGTGGATAGTACTTGATTTTAATAACTTTGGAAAAGCGTAGTAGCTTTAAGTTCATTTCATCACTTATTATTTTGAAAGAGATGGAGATCTCGAGCAGAAATTATGTGTATTCGTGACTGATTTGGCATGTTAATCCATTATGACGCTACTTCTCTTTGAATAAAAGGCAAACGAAGAGTTCTCGTTTTCCACAATTGGTAAATTCATCACATACCAATGTAGCAAATGCCGCCTTATATCATATCATTGCTACCAGTCTAGACAAGACGGCTAAATTTGTCCGTTGCGCCTACCCAGACTATACATCTGCTTTTGACTCGGTACCTAGAAAGTCTTATTAAATAAACTTGCTGCTAGTCAAACAAAATTTTGGGTTGTCAAATGGCTGCATTCCTATTTCTCAGAAAGAAAGCAGTACACCGTATATAAAGGGAAGTCTTCCACTTCATTGCCTACTGAACCTGGTGTCCCTCGAGGTGCTGTTCTTTCTCCTTTTCTGTTTTCTTTCTTCTTGCATGACTTGCCTCACTCTGATGAAATAAACTTTGTGAAGTACGCTGATGATTTAACGGTTTCAATGGCTGTTAACTCCCAGCTAGATTGTACCAAAATAAATAGCTTTCTATCGGAGGTCAGTAAATGGTCTGAGTCTAACGGTTTTAAACTGAATCCTTCTAAGTGTCAAACTGTTGATTTCAGCTCAAGATGTAGAAGACAGATAAAAGAAGTCATTAATTCTCATGACAGTTGTGAATTTGACGATAATGATATAGGAATCAAATCAGAAATTAAGTATCTTGGACTCATTCTCTCTTCTGATCTCTCCTGGTCTTCCCATGTCTCAGCGATGTCAAGTAAAATATTTCGCCTGACATTTTACATTAAGAAGTTAAGGCACTCGGGTATAACTCAAACCTTCCTCTTACAGTTCATAAACTCTTAAATCCTATCCATTATTCTTTATTGTTCACCCTTATTCTCTCCTGGTTTGCTTAATAAAGACTATTTCACAATTCGTAGAATGCTGAAGACGGGCAGTAGGATGAGTGGTGTCCCAGTGCACCACATAGTTAACGTCGTTGTCGATAGGCCCTTGACTTCGTGCAATAAATTTGCTAGAAGGATTTTGTCTGACTTGGGGCATCCACTTTACCCTCAACTTTCACCTTGCATCTCCTCATTTAGAACAAGGAGTAACTACAGAAAACTGTGTGCTCACACGTCTAAGTATAAAAATTCTATGATACCAAACTTCGCACGTATTTTATGTGATAAAAATAGTGTCAGGCAACAATTAACTAATTTTTTTCATCCAGTAAATAAACAATTTCCTCCATCCATCCTTAGATACCTTCAAGTTTTACTTTTATTATTTCTATTATATTTATGGTCCTGTTGCTTCTTTGTTTAACTCTCATAATTGCAAACACCAAATTATCTCCATGACTGCAGTAATCTTTGTTTCCCTGATATGTATCCAAATATATATATTTATGTGTGTGTGTATATTGGTCTCTCTTTCTGTTTGCTCTCTTAGTCTGTGACCATTTCACTTGTATGAACTTGTCCCCTTTAACAACGTATATTCTCCTTATATTAAATTATATATAATATGAGTGTTCGTTGGCAGTCCGTTGCTTGGTGACATATATCCATATATGGTGGTTGTTGACATGTCTGCTATATTTCGCTATGTATATATGGATCGATACTTCATTATAATTAGCCATTCATGTTAAGACTGTCTAGTGATTTGTTCACACACTTTGTCTGTAACATTCATATATATTTCGCATTCACAATTTGTGTGACTTACTTTGGTGTGATACCACTTTTGCATTCTCCTTGTGTTTGGAAAATAGAAGTATCATCGCAAACCTAGTGGTCTTCTGATTTCCGCCTTCTTGCGTCAGGACTATAAGTTTGTCGACCAGTCCATAACAATAATTTGTCGACGAGTACATAACATTCTCCACTCACCATATCATGTGATGAGAACATTATATTCAATAATTTTTAAACAAGCTAAGATTTCTATACCGCATCGACAATACTGTGTGAAACAACCCCATGGGAATTTTCATTTGTATTATTATTACCTTAGCTGTTGTCATTATTATTATTTCCATTTTATATGCTGCATGTTTTTGACACTACCTCTATTGTAAATGTGGAAAATTTTCTTCGTGATTAATTTTATTTATAATTTGAGGAAATTAGATGCAATATTGTGATCAATGCCAAAAATTCCATTCTGTATCACAAGTACTGTTTTTCGAATAAAGTAATCCACAACGGGAAACTTACGGAGGCCTTCAAAGTGAGGACGGGAGTGAGGCAAGGCTGTCTACTATCACCAATGATCTTCCTGATTGCAATTGATTGGATAATGCGACAGACAACGGCAACCAACGAGGGAACAGGCATAAAATGGACTCACACAAAAGACTTGGAGGATCTGGATTTCGCCGATGATATATGTCTGATTTCCCATAAACTGGAAGATATGCAAATGAAAAGTAACAAGTTGGCAGAAGAAGCATCAAAGATAGGACTTCACGTGAACATAGATAAAACAGAGATGATGAAGATTCCTAGCCAACATCAACAGTAACAACAACAGACAACAATCAGCATAAGTGGGAAGAACCTGAAAGAAACAACCTCCTTCACCTACCTGGGAAGCATCGTCTCAACTACAGGCGGAACTGACGAGGACATCAAAGCCAGAATCGGAAAAGCAAGACAAGCTTTCATTACTCTCAAATCTGTGTGGAGGTCAACAGCAATCAGCATCAAAAATAAGATCCGGATTTTCAACTCCAATGTGAAGTCAGTGCTACTATACGGATCAGAGACCTGGCCAGCGCGTCATAAAGAACATCTCAAACAAACTACAGACCTTCCTTAACGGTTGTCTTCGCTCAATACTCAAGATCAGATGGCCGGCTAGAAAAGATCAGCAACAGGGGTCTCTGGGAGCGAACCAATCAGGAACCGATTGTGAAACAAATAGGCAGAAAGAAATGGAGATGGATTGGCCATACGCTGAGGAAACCATCAAGTGACATCACTAGACAAGCCCTCGAGTGGAACCCGAAAGGGAGGCGGCGAGTTGGTCGTCCCACGGTGGGGTGACTTGGAGGAGATCATGTGAAGAGGAGATGAAAGCATGTGGGCAGACCTGGAGCAGGGTGAAAAAGTTGTCAGAAAACCGAAGTCAATGGAGGTGCGCAGCTGAAGCCCTATGTTCCTCTAGGAACTAAAGGATACAACCAACCAACCATTATTATTATTATGTTTCAGGTTGAATATCCTAGGAAAACATACTGTCTTAGGTACATATCAATAAAGTGAAGCTACTATAGCATTTGGATGAACACGGTGTTCTGGTTTTAAATAGAGTATTCTCACTTATCTTCACATAAAAATGAATGAATAGAAACTGTCGCAGTAAAGTCATTATTCACCCTTAGTTTTCTTCCGGCGAATGCGTTTTTCGACTCTACAATCATTTCTCCTTCTCATCTTGAGATCTAGGGAACTGAACTTTTTAGTGCTCATTTCCCATGGTTAACTTACTGTCAGGTGGGATATGGTTGAAATGGTTGATCAATTCACAAGCGTGAGTGGTGTTATTATAAACAAAAAATATACTGTCAGCAAATTGATGATGAATGGTTTCTTCATGGGTTCGAGAAATTAGTCGTGTCGTTCAAGGCAGTTAATAGAATTGAACCATTTATGACCCCAATAAATTGGGATAAAGCTGGTCATAATATTTGAACTGAATTTGTTTCGCTCAACGAAGCAGTGGTCACTCAATGTCAGCTTCCATTGATCGTAGCAGATCCGTTAACTGTGAAATTAATTAATTCGTTTGCACCAACAATTTACTTATAAATAAAGGCATTACAATGATTTTATTTGAAATGTTGACAAAATTTTCTTCAATGAAATGTTGGCGTGTACCTTCAATGCAACGACTGCTGATCTGTTTCGAATCGCGTCGAAAGAATTGATTAATCGCTGACCATGTTTGTAAGAAAGGTTCCCAAAACTTTGTAAATAGAGTAACTTATACGAAGACTGAGGAGGATCATTTTCTCTACTTCAATTAAATTTTATTCTTCTCTAAATGTTCCACCTTCAGGTGATTTCTTTTATCAGACAACGTGTGTGTAAAACCCTTATGATAAATGTCGTCATAATATCATCCAATGTCACCGCCACTTCGAGATACATATCTGTGAGCACAAATATCAAGAATTCAACAATCGCTTTCGCTTTTTGTACTGCTTTTATAACAAATACCAGTTTCCTACCCATTAAAATGATGCAAACGGTAATATGTAGTCTAATCCAAAATAAAACACAAACAGAAGGAATTCAGATTTTTATGCATTGAAATGTCATTTATGGAACACAGTATGAAACATTGAGAAGTTTTAAAACGTTGTGGATAACAGTAGGTCAAAAAAAGCATTAAGGAATGAGCAGAAAATAAGCTAACAACCGCATAAGCTGAGTATAAGAGCAAGTAGTACATATAAAAACACTGGGCCTGAAATCAACAAAATGTTCAGTATTAAAAGTGAAATATATACATTCATATATTTCTAAGCATGGAATATGAAGGAGGTTATATATTACATGATTTTATGTATATTGCCTAATCCCCATCTCAGATTCATTCAGCGTTCTTGTATCCTTTCATATACTAATCAGTAGGACAACTCAATCAAGGTGTGCACCGTAAGGATTCCTTATCACTTATATAAATGACAAGAAGGCAGGTTAAGAGTATCTACAACGCTATACATTATTTGCAGAGTGAACAGTCACTAAACAAATAACAATTTCAGCTTCGATCACTGCTGTTTCTTTAGTATGATCTTGATCACAGCTGTCCTAAAGTTGTACGTCACAAAATTCGATTCACAACCAGTAATTTTCATCACTAATATAGGAATACAGAAAGCACTGCATTGAATTATTAAATCTTCCCGTCAGTGAGCGCATATTGTCGCATTCCATATAACAATTGATTTCCATTCGAACTTGAAACCATAGCTCACTTTACTTCTTCATTTTGTCTTTCAGTATTTCACTTAAATCGGACGTTGTCTGACTGTAAAACTAACAATAAAGTTGCCTATTTAGCTCATCATACATGTTTTGTAAAACTAATTAATTTTCAAACTAGGCACATTACACTTATCACTCAGATTTTTATGACGGATAAAGCATGTATAAATACAGAAGAGGTAAACTTTTGTCGATCGCAAATTTCCATAAGTCTTTACAGATGAGACTTTCACATGGAATACATTTTGTAGTAACACTCATGTAACTGAAAATGATCGAAAATTCAGTCAATGAATTCATCAGGTCTGTCACAAAATGAAAGCTGAAAGAAATCTTCACAGTGTATTGCAAACCCTATCATTCTGTTTAACCCGGTGTTCACCGGGTATTATTGACCGGAATGAACCACGTTTTTTGACATGTTACAATGATTTACGGCACTCTTCAGCTAAGTTTACACTGACCTCATTAAGTTTCGTTCATAAAATAAATTCAAACTTACTCAGTTGTTCTAAAGTGAGAATGTGAAAATATCTGAACAAAACCATTGGATTATATTCAGAAGTAATCTTTACTGCAAGAAGATCTTCTGGTTTTAAATAATCCTGAAGCTAATCAAGTGTTTCACTTCTCCAAATAAAATATATTAAAATAACTAGGTATTGTTAATGAGTTTATAAGCTGAAAATGTAAAAATGCAAAGATATTATTAATTAAATCTACAAAGGACACCCCAGAAAACAAGTCGTGAATATATGAAAATAAATTACTCTCATCTTTCATGAAAATATCAGACCAAAAAGTGACAGCATTTCTCAACAGCTGTACAAATTTACTGCTCGCATTACCTGTCGTCTTGATATATTTCTATTGCATGAATAAGCAGTTTTTACAAAGTAAACTGACTGTTGCGAACATGGCTGTTTCTAAGTCAATGTAAAATGCACTTACTGTTTATCTCTTCTGTACAATTGGTCAACAAGAGCATTTTGTAGAGTCTTTCACACACAAAAACTACTTCAACAAATGAGGTGATATGGAATGCTTTGCTTTATGCACTTTGGACGCTTAAGTTCATTTTATATATTGTGTCATGAAATACAAGAGACATTTCCGTTTTAGTGTGACAAAAACTCATCTGATTGTGTAATCTTTGTCTTTAACCTCACCCTCCTTTTATAATCTGTAATTTTGTTTGTCTCTTGTTTCTATGATTTGAGTTCAACTCAGTACATTGTTTACCTCACTTATTAGTTACTATGCATCCAACGCACATCCCACCTTTATTATGTAACTCCCTTACCATTATATGCATACATTTATTTATTATTTTTTTAACCTGAACTGCCTGTGTAAAAACTATATAAGCGCAATTTTCTGAGCACTGTTTACTAATTGTGAAACTTTCTGTCAACTGACAACATGTAAAATTTGCGAGTATGTTAAACCGTTTCTGTAAGTAAACCTGAAAATTTATTTAGGCTGTAAGCAGCTGATGAGAATCCAACGAAATAAATGATGATACCATGTTATTCTGCACAAATCAATGTTGTTCTTGCTTTATTCAAAATCCAATCTCACCAATCCAAATATTACTTTTCTGTAGATTTCGTGACATTTATCAACAAACTTTATTTAATCTCTCCCGTCAGATATGTCACGTTTTAATGTAAAGCTTAGTTTATGTTAAAATACTATTGAAAAGCTAAGCCAGTATTAAAGTTGACAGTGAAGAACAAAAAACAGACTAAAGCAAATTTATAAACGTGTTCAATGAATTAGATTAAATGTGAACGTTTAGCCTGAAGCTGTTACCATATTTGAATCTCATATCCCATCTGAGGATCTGTCGGCAGCTTCTGGATAAATATTTGGTATCCGCAACACACCATTTTATTCTGACCACCATACTAAATATCTATAGGCATATGCAAAAGTTTGCTACCCTCTCAAAAGTCTGAAAGTACAATAAAGTTATATCTACCCATCAGCATTATATATCAGATTATATGTAAACGATGATAATACTAATTATTTACGACAGATATACTGTACAGTCAAAACAGAGACTGTTTCGAAATTCATGCGTTGTAAAACGACATAACAGAATCAATTACGCAGTGATAAGATCGACATAAACGCAGATATCAGTTGTTACGGTTTCTTTTAACTCAGTCTCATACATTATTAACTTTTTACTCATATGCTAATGAGACTCAGCCATATATACACACACCCTCTTCACATTTAAACAAATATAAGCATCTCTGTACATTTGAAATCGCTGAATTCAATATATAATCTCAAAAATTCGATCAATAATCTCACCTTCAACTTGACGCCCTTCACCATATTCTGTCGTATGTAAAAAAAAAGTATTATCAACACATTTCGTGCTGCCGAAATTCTGTTCTAATTTAGTAAATGAAAGAACTTGGTTTATGATGTTTACAACTTCAAATTGACATTTATTCCAAATATTTGAGTATGTACCCGATAACTGTTTAGGTATGTTACCCTATGTTATGTGTGATTTCAGATCAACTCGAAAATATAGAAATTTTATATCTAAGGTCATTATTTAAAATAAGATCTACACAACCTTTGTTCAAAACAGCAAATTGTCCCTTAAGATGTAGAAAATACATTTCTTTCCAGCTACAGTAAAACCATATTCTGAAGAAAGAATAATAAACGTGGAATTTGAGAGCTAAGCGATTAAACTAAGTGTCAAATAAGAAACATTTTATAACTGAGTAAAACAGATACTTTGGGTTTAATTTTAATGCGTCCGCATTTACCTCAAACTTTTCACTCAAAGATACTGACATCTGTTGCATGAATTCATTTTCCAATCCAAAAGTGGGGTGAGAACCTTACAAGACATCAACAGTGAAGACAGACTTTACATATATATAATACAGGCGATCTCGCCCAGGATAATGATTACCAGATTCAACTCAACAGGAAGGTAAGTGACAATTATACAATGCTGTGCACTTTCAAACAACGCAGACCTCCGAAAGAAAGAAGGGTTCCACAGACAACCACAGGCAAAATTGTACAATAACCTAGTCAGTGACATTAGAATCTAGATTGGAGACATGAACGCCAAATTGGGACCAGACAACACGGGAAAAGAACTCATCATGGATACAGAAGCACTTGGAGAGAGGAATGAAAATGAAGAGCTCTTCGCTGACGTATGCGCCTTCAGTGAACTAGTGATTGGTGACAGTATATACAAACACAAGGACATCTACAAGACTGCATGGGTGTCACTAGACAGGTGAACAAAAACCAAAGTGACTTCATTTCAGTGCTGCTCAAGGAAATGGATACGCAACTTACTGGACACAAAAGTATGAAGAGGAGCAGATTTTGGCTAAACCTGTTATCTCGTATAAGGAACACTCTTTATAATAATAATAACTTCCAAAGAAGCAGGAGATGCAGTTCAGTGCTCAAAAACTGGAGGATCAGAATACAAAGGACATCTTCAATGAAATCATGAGGAAAAAGTCGGGGACACAAATCAACACTAGTAAAGAGAACAGTGCTGAAGAACACTCAAACAGACTGAAAGCATTATGGAATTAAACCTACATGGAACCTTTAGGCAAAAAGAAGAGACAGGACAAACAGTGGCTCACTGTGGATACATGGAGATTAATGGAAAAGAAGAAGATGGTGAAACAAAAGATTATCCAGTGCATCGATGAGCAACAAAAGCAGGAGTTCAATACAAGCTAAATTACACTGAGCAGAGTTCCTGTCGAGGAGGAGATCAACACAATTTAACCGGTTAAGGATGACATTGCAAAGTCGATCACCAAGGAGGTGGAGCAGAGGAAACACGGTCTTTAACACCCTGAAATACTTATAAATCGACCGCCACCTACAACGCGCCAAAATAATATCAACAGCGGAAGCAGAACTACCAGTGAATATCAACCCTCTAACAAAAACAGAAGTCCTGGAGGCAATAAAGATGCTTAAAGCGAGAAAAGCAGCATGATTAGATGCGATTTCAGCACATGCATTGCAAATATACCCCGAGACATCAGCCGATTTGATGACACAACTACTAAAGTAGGTGTATAAAGAGGGCAAGGTACCTTAGGATTGTAAAATTGACTGCTTGTACAAACCGCCAAAGAAAGCGGACTTAGGTCAATGCAGGAACTGATGCAGAGTTATGCTTCCGTCTTTCTCAAGCGAATCAAACAAGCCATGGATGAAAAGCTTCGACGAGAGCAGGCTGGATTCGTGAGGATTAAGTCACGTATACACCAAATTGCACCACGCCGGCGCACACCTGATATCTATGGTCGGCCTGCAAAATTTGGGCTACCGATATCGCATGCTGAAAATTCCATACTTGTACCAAAAATACAGTGTGGAATCAAGCTGTAAATCAAAAAATAAAAAAATAAAAATATTTTCACTGAACAGAGCTTGGTATAGCAGTCAGCTCTGTCTCAACTTCGTCCACACTGAAAAGGCCTTTCACATGGTCGATCGAGAGATGACTTAGAAACTGGTTCGTCACCATCGGATGCTGCCAACAATTATACACCTGATCCAAGAATTGTACGATAATGCTGCATTCCAAGTAATCCACAATGGGATACTCACAGAATCCTTCGAACTGAAGAGGGCAGTAAGACAAGCTGGCTGCCTACTATCTTCAATGATTTTCCTGATTGAGAACGGTAGACTGGATAATGCAGCAGACGTACACCAGGCATCGAGGAAACAGGCATAAAATTTACCCACACAAAAGACTTGGAGGATCTGGATTTCACTGATGACATATATCAGATTTCGGCAAACCTGAAGATATGCAAGTGAAAAGCAACAAGATGGCGATAGAAGAAGCATCAAAGATGGGCGTCCAGGCGAATATAGAGAAAACAGAGATGGTGAAGATTCAAACAAAATACATACCTTCATCAACAGCTGTCTTCGCTCAATACTCAAGTTGGGATTGCCAGAAAAAGTCAGCAACATGGATATCTGAGAGCGAGTCAAATAGGAACCGATCGTGCAGCGAATATGTAGGACGAAATAGAGGTAGATCGGCCATACTCTGAGAAAACCATCAAATCACATCACACGCCAGGCTACTGCTCGAGTGGAACCCGGGCGTATCAGGAGCGGGGACTTAGTCGTCAGCTTAAGGTTGAAATGGAGGAGGATATATGAAGAAGAGATAAATTCATTGGGCGAAACGTGGAGCCAAGTGAAAACGATGGCAGAGAACCGAAAGCATTGAAGACGTGCGACTTAAGCCCTATGTTCTTCTGGGAATTAAAGGAAACAATAATAAAACCACAATATAAAATAGAACTATTTAGTTCCTATATCGGTGTTTTTATATTTAGCAAGTTGCTTCGTGAAATCGCGCATATGAATAAACACAGTTTACACTTACCCTCTGGCCGCCCTGCAAATGTCCACCACAAGCTCTACAGTAAATTTTGTTCACTAACTTATGTAAAGTGGTTCAAAGAATATAAAAGAGTCCGGTGATAAAATCCATTTTGACATCGTCAAACAGAACCTTTATCGAATTACAGTAAGAAGTACATAAACGGTTCAAATAGCTCTGCATAGTTTACTAGCGGGTCTTAAGCAAAAGAAATGAAGTAATTCCATGAGAGACTGAAAAATCTATCCTGTGACAATTCCCACAGCCTATTGGCTATGTGAATTTAGAGTTCACAGGGCCATAAACTCATTCTCCAATGCAGTCCGGAGGAGAAAAAAAACCTTCTGGAAGCCTGTCAGTTAGTGTGCCTTCTTTCGTTGAAAGGAAAAGTAAATATATAAACGCGGGATATCCACACCACATTCGGCTCTGACAAATATGCTGAAATTAAAAAGCAGATGACAATATGTGACACTGACGTATTAGAAATCTGTAACAGCAGATGAAATGGGATTGAAGTCTGGGAATTTTCACCCACCACCCTCATCGCTTAGACGATAACAACGAGGATGCTAAAGGAGAGACTGTCATGATATCACAGAAAACTTTGGATGTCCTCATGCTGCGGGGATTGAATTTTATGCAGGACAGTGACAACAAGATTCAAGTATAAAGGAACGAAAGCAACAGTTGGACAAAGAGACACATCAACAAATAACACAGGTCAGAAGGAGAAATAAGAAATTCTCCTGAGAGATCGTAAATGTAAAGCGACATCAAAACTGTAATGGTTGGTATGGATAAAAAGCAGATAAAAGGGGAACAATGCAGGAAAACAGCTCATCGCGGTTTGAGAGGCACTTCCTTGATGAAATGAATGGCATTATAGAACTATTTGAGGTGTTCTGAGTTTGTATTAAATTGGTGATTGGTGTCACTGGAGGATACACAACAAGATATGAGTCCCCCTCAAAAGACAAGGTGGAAATCAGATGGTTCTCATCTCATTTTGACTCCTCAACAAAAGTATTAGACTTGAAAATCACTCTGTAAAGAACCAGAGAAGCAGTAGGAATAGACTGAATTTCTTCCAGTAGCACTTAAACGGAACTTGACACAAACTGACACTGCACCCTACCACTTCATGAGTCGTGAAGGAAATGAAGGGAAGTTGCCTGCTGATTGGTATAAAGAAAACCTTATCAGACTACCAGGGAAGAACAACTAAACCCATGTAGGAACTACCGCAAAACCTAGCTTCTCTCCCAAAAAGGGTTTTGTCTAGAATATCTACATGCAAGCGAACTAGAATGTTGAATGATTGAAAGGTCTCAAGCATAAATTGACTTTGATCAACCTGTTGCTTAAACTAGCTGTCAGGAAAGATACATATGTCGCTTAAGTTAACGTTTGTTCCTACAAGATATAATGGAGATTTGCGGTTTAATCGGATGATTTTGAAGTATTAAGGATCTTTCAGTAGGATGGTTTATTTGCCAAGTTATCGTTACTTTACTAAGCGGTTTCTTCAGCATATACTACTGGAAAAAGGTGATTATCTGAACCAGCAGTTACGTGTGCTTATTCATCACTGATTCTAAAGGAAAATGTTCTGAATTGTCCTGTTCGAATTACTTCTTAACAGCAGTAACTCAGTAGTGGAATAACAATCATGTAAATAAATTGCTAGTCACCGTGCGAAGTTATATCACAAAAGTGTCACATTATTTCTCAGATAGGTATATATATGAATCAATCTGTAGAATTATCTTTTAATGTCAATATTCGTCTTCATATACTTCCACATTGGCATCACAAGTATTCCTCAGTTTTCAGTGTGTGGAAATGATTAAGCTATTCTCAACAGTTATTCTTGCAATGATGTGCGAACTGCACATGCAAAGATGTTAACCCGTTACGAAGTATAGTGTATTGAGAAGTCCTGATGCAAAATCAAGGAGAGAGTAACACCTATTTTCGTGTGCTTATTTATTCGAGGAATTGATGGCACTGAAATTATATTTTTGGTGTAATTTTAAGTAATTTATTTCAGATAAATTTCCAATGAAAATATTTGTATTAATACAACAAACTTTGTTGCGCCATCTATTTACTTATTATTTAGACTGACATCAAGGAACCCAGAAAACTCACACACATGGAAAGTAGGCATCTAATTTTACCTGCATACTGGTACCATTTGATTTCTACGTCGTCAGACCTACACATATTTCATACTTTGTAAAATCGTTTTTAACCCAAATGGAAATCGAAACTTACTAATATTATCTTCAAGCATTTTTATTTTGTTACAAAATATTTGTTATATACCGACATACCCCACGTAAATTGAAAAACAAGATATTATCACGACAGCAAACAGAATGAGATCATGAAAGAATATTC